AGTATAAAAAACAGTAAGAATAGGGAAATAATAAAACACTATGTACAAGAGAAAAAAACAGTAAGAATCTAAACGACAGATAACACAAATAGCAGCAGCAATACTACTACTATCATATCAGTATATATACTGAATGATGATAACAAGCTCATTAGAAAATGTCAGACTTGGATCCATCAGTCCAGTGTTTTTCTCTATTGTACAGCAGCCCTGATCAGTCCTTTTCTTTCTGGTTCCAATCACTCATATGAACCCTGTTTTATAGAGTGATCCCCCAAATTTGACAGTGCAACCTCAAAGACCCCACAGGCAGCTGTTTTTGTACTTGGAAGTATTTACATTTCTTCCTTTCAAAGGTTTGCAAGGAAAGTCATTTAAAAGTGCACACTGATTGTGATGTGACTGGAAACAGGAACTACTATCAGTAATCAGAGCTGCTTTCTAGTGTTGTCTACTGTTCAATTAGTCAGCTTCTTATGTTGATGTATGTAGAGCTTTGTCTCAATGTCTTGTGCTTATGGACATGTCCAGGTTCCAGGTTTGACAAAGGTTCATCAGTTCAAGCTTGTTCCCACTTCTAAATGCCTTTTGATCAAATTTGCCACAGTGTTTACAGATACATTAAGTTTTATTGGAGTTTCTCTGTAATTCCCCAGAATAATGGTGGTTTGGCTTTTTGTCAGAGATGCACAGGAAAGGTCTATCAGTTAACCCCATAAATAATAAAAACAAATGGACACGACTACATCCCTCAACTACCTCCCAGATGTATGAGTGTGTCTGACTAAAACCCTCTACTGATCATCTACGGTTAAAATTCACTTATACCTGTACTTTATGTGTTCAGTAACTTTTAACTGGCAGGGAAGATGTTAACATAATCTTGTTTGTTGCCTCAACTAATTTTTTTTTTTTTTCAGTAATAATGCCACCTTCAGCTCTGGACCAGCTCAGTAAGTGAAAGCTAAATCAACCGTATCTTCAAAATAAAAGTCCTGAATGAACCTCCAATGATTATTACCTTTCTCCTCCTTTTCCTCGTACAGGCCGGCTTAATATCACATATCCAATGCTGTTCAAGCTGACCAACAAGAACTCGGACAGAATGACGCACTGTGGTGTGCTGGAGTTCGTGGCTGATGAGGGAATCTGTTACTTACCACACTGGGTGAGAAACAGTAACAGGTTCAGTGCCGGTGTCACAGAGACTGAACTGTCTGCTGGAGCACTTAAGTATTTGTTGCTTTACTTTGTTTGCTGCAGATGATGCAGAATCTCCTGCTGGAGGAAGGTGGTCTGGTCCAAGTGGAAAGTGTTAACCTTATGGTGGCCACTTACTCAAAGTTCCAGCCGCAGAGCCCCGACTTCCTGGACATTACAAACCCCAAGGCAGTGTAAGAAATATCAGTTAAATTTACCTATTCTTCACACTTTGTGTTTAACTAAAGTGATTAAGTAAGTTGTCACTTTATTACAGACTGGAGAATGCATTGAGAAACTTCGCCTGCTTGACAACTGGCGATGTCATCGCTATCAACTACAATGAAAAGGTAAATTAATTTATTCAAATTAGACTAATATAGGAATATGTTTTTGTCTTAATCTTTTGTCCCTGAATACCGCTGCTAATGGATCCTGTGTGTTTGTTTCAGATATATGAGCTACGAGTTATGGAGACTAAGCCAGACAAAGCAGTATCCATCATCGAGTGCGATATGAACGTAAGACCCTTCATATTATCACAGACAACAGTGAATTCATCTGTTGTGTTCACTGCTTTAAATGTGTTGTGACTCTGTTTCTCAGGTGGATTTTGATGCTCCTTTGGGATACAAAGAGCCTGAACGACGTCCTCAGCACCAGGAAGAACCAACAGTAAGGACCAAACCTTAAAGGTACCTGTACATTCTGTGCTCTGAACAATTTGATCAAACAAATGTATTCACAGGAGGAAGAAGCAGATCCCAGCAGTTACGCTGACATGGACTTGGGATTCAGGGTGAGTAAATGCTGCTGTGGGTTAGAGACAAATAAATGTCTTCATGACTACTGATAACTGTGATAATTGGAGCTAATGTGACTTCTAATCTGTTTCTTATCCTCAGGCTTTCACTGGCTCTGGCAATCGTTTGGATGGTAAAACAAAAGGGATTGAGCCCAGCCCAGTCCCTCTTGACCCAAGCGACATCAAAAGGTGAAAGGATTGTTCAGTTTTGGATAGATGTAGACATGAAGTGGCGTAACAATTAAACAATGGTTTAACTTTTCAACATGATAACTCTGCAACAGACTCTATTAGACAGCAGATGGTAGAGAGATTACAGGAAATGAGGGGAGAGAGAGATGGGGATTGACGTACTACCTAGGTCCAAGGCTGGACTCAAACTGGGGACTTTGAGGCCACCAGGCACCCCACACACTATGTATATTATGTATATTTACAAGATTTCTCAGATCGGACTAAATCTTCTAGGTTGGTTGCAGGTAGGAAGCACCGGTTTATGTAATTCATAGTTTGGCCCTTCAAGAGACTCATCCAGGCTGGCAGCGTCTGACAGCTGAGATGTGTACAAATGTTTTCTTTCTGCACATTGTGACAAGATGGTTCACAGTTCCACACTGTCCGGAGACCCTTAGTGGCAGCTGTTCAGTCTTTATTTTAACATCGCTGAACATTGAACCATTCCACCAGTGTTTTAGTCTTGAGCGTAAAATCTTAAACTCTAATCTTTCGTCTCACAGAGGCATTCCCAACTATGAATTCAAAGTTGGCAGGATCACCTTCATCAGGAACTCGAGGCCTGTGCCGAGGAGATTTGTGGATGATGTAAGAAAAGTGAAGGATTGTATCGTACATTTGTCAATATTTAGGCTGTATGTTGCAGTATTTACAGTTTTAACTACTACTAATCTCTCTCTTTTTTTTTATCCTCTCAGGATGACGCCTTGAATAGATTCATCGCCTTCTCCGGACAAGGACAGTCACTACGCAAGAAGGGAAGAAAGCCTTGAAGGATTTCAAGTGGAGAGAGCTAATGTGCACAGACTCACTGTATCTATTGTCACCTTCAACAGCAAAGTAAAAAAAACTGGCCTTCAGATGCATTGGAGTTTTCTCTCTCTGTCTCTTTTGAAATGAGAGTGTTGCTGTTGAGTTGTGATTGGATGTAATTAAACCTCTGACAGTAATATCTTGCTCAACAGAAGCTGAGCTGTCAGTTGTAATTTGGTGTTCACAGGTTCAGGGTGACTGATTTGAGCCAGGGATAATAAATTATATCACCACCAACACAAAGAAGTGAAGTATTGTTGTAACGATAGATACAGATTTTAATTAACCTTTAACTTAGAGCATATCCCCCCTTTTCCAATTGTTCCATTTTTACAATTCACTTTAAATATACTGTTATTCAGAGTCCCATTCTTATAAAAAAAAATTGGAGCAATAATATCTCTATACTTTTGTTCTTAATTATAAAAGATTAAATTTTATGTTTGAGGGGTTTTTTTGTGCTGAATTATAGGAATAATTTGCAAATGTTTTCCTTTTTTCCTGGTTTATTTATAGACAAATAAAGGACTGTGTTTTGAAATTAAATAATTGTAGCTAATGATTATTTGTCTTAAGCATGTACATGAATGACTGAATGAGACTGGAATATAGAATGTGTATGTGTCTATGGCATTTTTTTTTATTCGAGTTAAACAAATTATTATTATTATTATTATTACAATACTACTAATAGATAACAGGACAAAAACACAAAGAGCCAAAAATAAATATCCATATTTGACCAAAACACAAGTACTTTAAATAAATGTGTCACAATACATTAGGGATGTTTAGTTAGTGTGCTCACCTTCAGGCATACACACTTTTATATTCTTGTTTCATTTGGGTGAGGCTTTTCAAAGTAAGTGCTATAAAATTCTGCGGTAGCGCTTTTATTGTGAAATGAACCCCAACCGGAAGTGTTTTCCCAGTTAGCTCAGCTAGCGATGGACCTGTCTGGAGAAAGACCGTGGAGGGTAAATCATCTAAACATTATATTGTAAATTACACATAACGTTCATGATACAGTGTCCATTTGCGTTAACGCTCATAGTCCTGTGAAAGAGTAAAGAGTGTCAAATGTAAACCAAATACTTATCAAGGTGATTAGCCTCTAGCTATCGTAACCTCAGCCACCGGGAGGTTTTAACAGAAAGTCTCAGTTATTTATCTGACTCATGATTTGTTTTTAAATCGAGCTGGCAAGCTTAATAAAAATAAAACACTACATCTAATAATAGATAAATGTAACTGCACATTAGCCACCGAGCTAACTCTGGTCCCTGTAAACCACAGTGACCTCAGGGAGGTGCTGTCAGACTACTGACTGTGGTGTTTTATTTAAGTTAAGTTTAGGTTCAAAAATAATAATAAAGTACATTTCTTACAGTATTTGAGAAGGTGTCCTTTTTAGTATATACATTTGTTAACGATATAAAAACATTATGAAATAAGTAGCTACTCATATGAATAATATACAGAATACATCATCATCTTTAAAACAAGGCTTATTGCTTTGAAATGATTTAATCCATTAAAATCGTATAAATATCTCACAATACATTCAATTCCAGGTGTTTTTGTTTCATAATGGCCATTGCTATGCTATTTTTTCTTCTCCAATTATAGTTTTATTTATTTTTCTATCACCAGTTCTTGTTCAGTCAGAGTCAACAGTGTTGAACGAGGGTTTAAACCTCCCCAGGGTGGATGATGACAGGTGTATATATTATACTGATGCTTGTTTCTGTTCGTACAGACACCCCGGTCCTGTGATGATTATTGGAGCGAATACAAACATTGCACTAGCTTGTGGAATCATTTTCACCACTATTACACTTACGGCACCTCCCCATCTTGCCAGCAGTGGAAAGAGGACTACCAGAACTGCAAGGAGTGGGAGAAACACAGAGGCGCCACGGCCAAGGTACAGCTGCAGGAAGTCACACTGTTAAAAGAACTAAACTTGTAAATATATCTGACAGTAACCAAAGTTTCTGAATGAATACATGTAAACACTTTACACAAAAAGATGTCTTTGAAATGAAATCGTGGATTGGATCTGTATTGCAGGAAGCCTTGCAGACGAGTGAGAGGAATAGAGTGGCGGCGCAGAGAAAGTTCACTCCAGTGTGGGAGCTGAGGCGAGAGCCTCCCAGAGACTGGCACATGCCCCTGAACCAGGAAAAGACTCAGGAGTCCTGAACCGCCGCTGTTGACCTGCTGTCTCTGTCCCATGGCGACCATAGTGAAATGAAGATTCGAGATTCTTGTCACTTGATGGACTTGAACGAAATGCTGGAGAGACTGGTCATCACTCATTGCCATCTCACATTGTATTCAGTGAGCTGCTGTATGAAAACAGATGATGTGTTTGATGGCATTTATTCAACCAGTGAATTACAATGTGATCTCTGAAAGGCAGTATTGTTTTTGAGGTTCATAAATAATTAATTGTTGTGTAAACTGAAGCACATAGGCGGACTGCACTCAGACTCGCTGTGAATGAGTTTTAATAGTAATGTCCTTGTTTAATGTAAGAAAGGGGCACTATTGGGTCAGATTAGGCAATGGATACATCAAGTAATGAAGGATCTGTTGTGCATTGTTTTAAGGGTTGATGCTGCACTACAATGTACTTCACACTTTATACAGATTATGTTGCATCAAACAGGGGAGTTGGCCTTAGTAAGCCTGTCAACATTTCCCAATAACCCAAGGCCAAGGTAAATGTGCTGTTTTTGATGCTGTAAATGCTCCATGATGAATATATATTTATGTATATTATTTATGCATTAATATGACAGAATTCAGCTTTACAGTATAAACCCAAACAGAGTTGTGCATTAGCAGTTTTATGCCATATGTACCTTAAATAACACAAAATGTTTCAAATTATTCTGAACAAACTGGTTCAATATAAAAGCATTTTTATTATCCATGTTCACCTGTTATGTTTTATACAAAGATGTGACAAAAACAATTCACTGCATAATTTCCATGAATGCTGTTCCATTTGATAAAGAAATGAAACAATGAGGTGACAGTACAATTCACAAAAGGAAAAACATATGCAGAGTGTCCTTCACACCTACACATGCAGGCTGTTTTAAAGAACCACGCACAAACAAAGACACAAAAATAAATGACAATACACACAGGCTTCACCCACAGCCGTTCCCTGTCCATCACTGTGTGTAAACCTTAGTGATGTTGTTGTATTTCCCATCAGGAGCGTAATACGTGGCCTTTGGCGGTGTATAGGCAAGACCTTCACGAGTGAAAGGAAACAGAAGGGGGTCTGGCTTCAGCGCTGCCTGGTACAGCTCCTCAGACTCTAACTTCAGCTCCTGCAGCGCCTCCTCCTGGGCTTCTAGAGCAAGTTTTACAGCCTTCATTTCGGCCATATGCTGCTCCTGCAAGAACAAAGACAGATGAGCACTTCAAATATAGTCCACTAAGTGCACATGATGGGGAGCAGGGATCAGAGGCAACATTTTTTTTTTATAAGAGCTTAAGTGATGGAGGTGTGATAGGTAAGTGGTGACCTGTTTGTATCGAGACCAGTCCTTCAGCAGCCTAGCTCGACGCTCGCTTTCTTCAAATGACAGCCTTGGTAGAAAGCGCTGCCTTTGTAGGAGAATAATAAACACCAATTTATAGCACTTCAAAAAGTCAGTGAGCAGCAAGGAAAGAAAGGAACAGTAAGTGAAAGACAGACTAAAGATACATAATATATGTATATTTAAATTTGTCATTTAATGTTGCTAAAACATTCTCAGTTTTTACTTTAGCCTAAATGCAAGACACAATCAGTAATAATTTTAAATTTGACTTAAGAACAATTTGGATAAAGTGGCTATCAAAAGTCTGAGCGCCCCCAAATAAATTGACCTTTACACATCAGATAAAACACAAACTAATGAGTGTTTTGAACTCTGATGTGACCTGAATCTGGATTCAGTCTGGTCCCTGAGTTTGGATTTCCTTCTGTCATGTTATGTAACAGTGTTTACCAAATGCAACCTCCTTGGATTAATTCAACTACAAATGACAGCGTGGACAGCAGTGAAATGAGCCGTACCTTGTTTCGTCCACGTATTTGGTGTGAACGAAGTCCTCTATCGGGATGAGCTCCGGTGGAATCTTCTCCAGCTTCTTCACCTTTTTTTTCAGCCTGTCCTTTGCCAGCTGATCCCTTTTTGGGTCTACTTTCTTCTTCTTTTTGGGCACCGCTCTTAAATACAAAGTATAGCTCTATGTAAGCGTGTTCAATCACAAGATATATCTTGAAACTGAACAGGGAAATATATGAGTATATTATGACATGAAACTCTATATTTTCATAATGATCTAAAAATGAAAAACAAATGCCATCATACCTTACAGCTCTAGTTAGACTTGGCAGTAACATTACATGACTGTTTTCTTAACTGGGTTTTCTTAAATTGTGTGTCAAGCAAGGTAGGACACACATTTATGACTTTATCAGTACCACCTTGCTCTGTTTTAGAGCTGGTTTTTGCTAAGGACTAAAAAGACTCCTCAGCTTTGTTAGGGGACCTGGCGAAACATTTGTTTTTGGGCTTCTACTAGTCCAGTCCCTTGTGCATTGTTAACAATACTTCACAACCTCCACATTAAGTGTGTGCACACACATATCTAGACACCAATCCATGCTTAAACAACACCGGCCCCTGGTTTTCTGTTCCACTTTTACTGAACTGGTGTTGAAATCATTAGTCGATCAATCAATTAGTTGATCAACAGAAAGTTAAGTCACTCTTTAGTTAGACCCATAAGAGAATAAGACTTGTATACACATTCAATAGCCTCAGACACAACAATTGAACTTGTCGTTGACATGATGGGCAGAATAAGTGATAAACAAAGTGATAATTAAATAACTGACAACATGGAATCAGAGACAAATAAACCAAGAATCATACATGTTTGACACAGCGTCCCTATGTACGACAGGACCACTATATTAGCAGTTAAATGATGATTCTGTAAAGTGAATATTGTGGATCAGTGACAACAACATCCAAACAAATGTGCAATCAATCAAATTACAAAAAAACAACAATGTACAAGGTGTGAGTTTCTGTGTCCTCAGCTGTTTTACAACCCTGATCTGATCTGATCTGACCTGAGGGGAGCAGATGTCTTCAGTGTCATCACTGCTGCAGACCAAGGACTCTGTGCAGCATGCTGATGTTCTCCCAACAGGAAGCTGAAAAACAACACACAGCAAACACAATGAAGGTCAACATGTGGACCTGGGGCTGTCTGTCGACCACTGGACGGGTTCAGCAGCACTTGTGCACTGAATAACCTTCTCCTGTGTTAGCTCCCACATGAAGTTCACATGGACACACACTCACCTGGACGAGCAGGAGGAGTTGGTGTGTCGGGTTAAAACCCTGCAGAGACAGCGCGACAGAGACACTGACATGTCCCCACTGCTTGTTGTTTCCCTTTGAACTCACACTCCTGTCTGTCTGTCTGTCTGTGTAGCTTAGCACTTAGCTTGTCCTCTTGCTTTGAGCGACGCGGGGTGATGACGTTTTAGAGCGGCTCGGTCGCACTTTCGACGTTTTTTAGTTTGCGCAGAAAAATATTTTAAAAACGTTTAAAATATATAATAGTTGGTAAATACAGTAGATAGTTAAGACGTTACGAAGCACTTTTTTTTTTTTTACTGGTTTAATAATAATGCCTCAGTTTAAATGTATTTGTGATATTTTTGTCGAATCTCACTGGACGAAAGTTATCAGCTGCAGGATTTAGGGGAAAGGTCGCTGTTGGTTTGTCAGGTTGGTTTATATTCACCGCGGACTCATTCAGAGCAGAGGTGTTGCATATCCGTGGAAAAGTCTGATCCTGACACTGGTGGTTTGTTGAATCGGCATCATGGCGCTTCTCAGAGGTAAACAAACACTTTTAAGTTCAGCAGTAGGTCAGTAAAGCAGACAATACATGCTGCAGCTGCTTTTAAAAACGATCAATGTCAGGGATAACCTACATGTGTTCCTCTTTGTGTTACAAGGGTAGCATTATCAGTGACCTTAAACGAATGGCTTCACTGCAAAGTCGACTTTATGTAAAGAAAAATGTCAGGAGGGTTTTAAATCGATCACAGCGTTAATTAGACGAAAGGTGACAAGATGGTGTCAAGATTTATTACCAGTTGTCTGTCGATCACAGTCTCTCACCTGTCGATCCATAAGTGCTCTTATTTCTAATAATTATGTTACTTATCACCAGTGGTGGAGGAAGGACTCACCTTCCTTACTTAAGTAAAAGGGATAATACCACATTATTCAAATGCTTGTATCATTTTATTCAAGTAAAAATGTATCAAAAGCAAAACTGAGGACTGCGCAGTGACTTATGTCAGTCTGTGAAATAAGTGTATTGGAGTAAAAAGTACCCTCTGACATTTAGTGCAGTATAAGTAAGTAGTATAAAATGGACTAAAGTTCAAGGAGCACATACCCAAAAATCCTTTAATGTATTTAGTTCCCACCACTGATTATCCCTTCATAAATACTTCCGCTCTTCTCTCATTTTGTCCATTTAGTTTTTGGTCCACTTGGTGTTTTAGTGCACTTTTCTCGTACAAAGTAGAGTCTAATAAATTGCACGGAGTCTAGCCCTCCAGCACAAGTCAGGTGTTACAGTAAGGTTGGTCACAAAACGAAAGCTTAGTACTAAAGCAAAGGCAGTTCAAGGCATCATTCACCTCCTGACATGCACTACCAGGGGTTGGTCAGCAGTTCAATGTCTGATTAGAAACTTAAAGGCATATCAGCAGACTGTTTCAAGATAAGTGTCATGCCACCAGTGAATTGTTTACTATGAAATTATAATCACAATGAATGAATCACAATCAATGTGCATCAGTGAATCAATTCTCATTGCTCAAACTGTTGAGAAGTTGTGTGTAATCAGTTTTTGTAATTCTGGTTGAGATAAAGTAAACTGACCAGGGGAGTGAACATTATGTATAAAGAAAAGGAAATTGTAATGAATTGTTTTTGTATTGTGCAAGTTGTGAAAGATTTAAACTTTTAGTTATTCATTCGTTGAGTTACATAGAAATAATAATGACAAACTCAAAACAGGGACTTTGTAGATTTGAAGTAAAAAAGTTTTTAAAAAAATGTATCAAGGGAGGGAGAAGGTCCAACGACCTATTTCAATATTTACAAGCTTCAACAAAGTATTTACATAAAAGCTATAGGAGCACCTTAATCCAGAGATCTGGAGAGAAAGAGTGAGAGAGAAGGTCAAACGTGCCCCACACACACCACAGCTGCTAACTCCCTGCACAAGGCCCAAGAGGAGAGGTAGAGACCCTGCCGCTGTTGTCTGAAGATTCATTGGAAGCAGTAACAATTTTTCCCGATGGTCTGAATAAATCTAGTGAGAAATTTGCCAAGTTTGCAACACTGGCTCTTTCTAGGATTGATTTTGTGTGTGTAAGCAAGCGTGTAACGCAGAGCTTGTGCCGGTGCCACCTCCTATTTCACGAAACACCAAACAATTAAAATGATAAATATTTGGTCACATATAAACAATACATTACTCTACTGACAGGTGCTATTTTTATTGCCCTGGGACAACAGGACATCCTTCATTTCAAGCGGTGCTCCAGTTCGATCCATATGATGTACTATTTATACTGGATCTTTATTTTCTGCATCTCAATGCACTGGCTGTGTCAAAATAGATGACCCAGTACCCCCTGACACTGTGATTTGGCTGTGGCTCTGTGGTGGGTGGTTTGAAGTCCTTGTCGCTGTACTAAAATACTCTGTTTCTCTGCAGGTGTATTTATTGTAGCTGCCAAGCGCACTCCATTCGGTACCTATGGAGGCGTGCTGAAGGATCACAGTGCGACAGATTTGGCTGAACATGCAGCCAAAGCTGCCCTGGCTGCAGGGGGCGTGGCACCAGAACTTGTAAACAGTGTCATTATGGGAAATGTCATGCAGGTGCCTAAAATCCAACAGATCAGCAGCCACATTTAACAGATTGCAACTATCACCACATGAAAACACATATGTTATGTTAACACACTTATTTGTGTTCTTGGTTTCATTTGTCTTTATGTACCCCCCTGATTTCAGAGCTCAGCTGATGCCCCCTACATTGCTCGTCATGTGGGTCTGAGGTGTGGTGTTCCCATCCCAGTGCCTGCTCTCACTGTGAACAGACTGTGTGGATCTGGTTTCCAGTCCATCATCAACGGTGCTCATGTAAGCTCTCCACCAAGAGTAAAAAACATTGCCAGAAATACAAATGTAGAATAAACTATAGTATTGTACATGCATGCATACTTTATTTAGTTACACCTGTACAGTCTAATGCAACTATTCTGCCTACCTTCATGAAAATTGAACATTATGAGCTTCATAAAGATAGATGTTGGACTGAACTGCATTAGATTGTTCAGGTGTACCTAATAAAGTGACTTCTGTGTATGTGTCACAAAGAGCACAGTCCATACATTAGTAAGTACAAGATTTTACATCATTTGTCTTCTTGCTCCATAAAATTGTGATTGTAGGAGATTTGTCTCAGGGATTCAGAGGTGGTCCTGTGTGGAGGCTCAGAGAGCATGAGCCAGGCCCCGTACGCCGTTCGCAACATACGATTTGGTACAAAGTTTGGATTCGATCTCAAGGTTTGGCTTCTGGTTGAATTTCCTTTTTTTCTTTTTAATCCCTATACACTTGACATAAATGTGATGACCATAAAGGCGGCATGTTATTAAACTCCAAAAGCTTTTGACACAAAGATAAAACCTCTCCTCGTCTGGTCAACAGCTGGAGGACACCTTGTGGGCGGGCCTGACTGACCTGCACATCAAAATCCCAATGGGCATCACAGCGGAAAACCTGGCTGAGAAATACCAGATCACACGAGAAGACTGTGACAACTATGCTTACCAGACGCAACAAAGGTGGAAGGCCGGTAAGATGGGTTTCATTTTGTGAAGAATATGATATTTTTGGCGTATTTTACAAAAACATTTCTTTTTTGTCTTTTGAAAAAAGGGAGACAGTAAGATGAATAACATTGACTAACCATCATAATCTGAACAATTAATGAGAGGTAAAAACTAAGACAAACAAACAGTCAAAAACAGAAAATACATACGAATTAAAAAAGGAACAAAGGAAGCCAGCCATTAGCAGTTAGATCAGTTCATTATGCTAATAGTTAAACTTTTTTCTATTTACAGCTCATGAGGCTGGTCACTACACAGCAGAAATCGCTCCCATTGATGTGAAAGCTAGGAAAGGCAAGGTGTCCATGGCTCAGGACGAACACCCTCGTCCACAGACCACACTGGAACAGATGGCCAAACTGGCTCCTGTCTTCAAGAAGGGAGGGACTGTTACTGCTGCCAATGCGTCGGTGAGTTGGCACCTGAGGTGATACGTTTATTTATTTCATCTTAGTGAATGTCAAACAGGAGGTCCCATTGCTGTTTAAGTGGAACACAGTAAAATATTTTTTGATATAAACATTATAAAAATATAACTATACTTCTACCATGAGAAGTGTTATTAAATGTAACTCTCTCTTCCTGATCTCCAGGGTGTGTCTGACGGTGCTGCAGCAGTGGTGATTGCAAGTGAAGATGCGCTGAAAGAACACAAGCTGACTCCACTGGCCAGGATTGTGGCGTATCACGTGTCCGGCTGTGACCCTAGCATTATGGGAATTGGTGAGTGACACCACTGTTGTGGAGTTGGAAATGAATGAATGAGTAAATAAACTATTGTGGTGTTTGACATGGTTTCTTGTAGTAAGGACTTTTGGTTTCATTAAATCCTTTTAGGTCCCGTCCCAGCAGTCACAGAAGCTCTTAAAAAAGCCGGTCTGACTATCAACGACATGGATCTTGTGGAGGTTTGTTACTAATGAAAAATTATTTCATTATTTTACGACTTAATCAGTATAAAAACCAACACAGCAATCTAAACAGTACTCAAAAGTTTACTTATGTAAAAGTACAAAATTGTAATGAACATCAAAAGCAAAATTATTTGCTCTGTGACTGATATATTATTATATATTACACTATTAGGTTGTTATTAGTGCTGTATTAATGTGTGGTTTAGGTGGAGCTAGTTTTAACTACTATGTATATATAGTTGGTAGTTTAATCTAGATACAAAAGGACTTCTCCAAAAATTTTTGTGAAATATTGTATAATTTTTCCTCTTTTTGGGCCTCAAACAATTATTTAAATAATGTGAGAAATGTAAAGTGGGGGAGAAGTTTGGTGGAACTGCTAACAACTCATAGACATCTGAAACATGACAAGGCGACCTAACTTGATGCTACTCTTTTGTGAAGGGGTCACAAGCCTAAAACAGGTTGTAAACAACTGGTTTAATGTTTAACATTGTGTTGTTCTTGATAAGCTTTTTGTGAAATGTTAATCTGCCATGTAACTAGTAACTGCAGCCATCAGATAAGTGTAGTGGAGTAAAAAGTAGTATAAAGTAGCTTAAAATGGAAATGCTCGTAAGCTACTTTAAAACAATTGTACTAGTAAGTATAGTATTAGAGTAAATGTACGTAGTTATTTTCCAAAACTGCATTTCACATATATTTTGATTTATTCAGGTAGTTTTTACTCAGTTGTGTCTTGGATGTAATTTTCTTTGCACAGGTGAACGAGGCTTTTGCCCCCCAGTACCTGGCTGTTGCTAAGGCTCTTGGTCTGGATCCAGAGAAAAGTAACGTTAACGGTGGAGCAATCGCCATCGGACATCCCCTCGGTGCTTCTGGAGCACGCATCACTGCCCACCTGGTCCATGAGCTCAGGTAACGTATATGTACAATATATAACAGCGGAGACGTCTGCACATTCAGTAGCTTTAGATAATGAGTTTTCTTGTGTTTTCTTGACAGGCGACGAGGAGGCAAATACGCCGTTGGCTCCGCTTGTATCGGTGGTGGTCAGGGCATCGCCATCATCCTCGAGAAATACTGATGAAACTGCTGCCAATATTAATAGAATTTCTGTAGAAGAATGTCTTGCACCACCGTCCACTTACATACATACATAAAAAACCTTTCACATACATATAAAACTGCAAATGTTCTCTTGACGTGAGGCACTGCTGCTCAGTTTCTCCCGCAAAGAAAGCGAACACATTTTTTGCTGCTTACTGTTGTTTCTTCTTTCAGTCTATTTATTCAAACATGTTCAATAACTGGCTCAGTCCACTGTTGCCTTGGAAGTCCTGTGAGGATAAAGAGCGAACTCATATTTCTGTGCTCGTTGTACCAGGGCGCAAGGGACTGTTTATGTATGTGCCTCAAATTCAGAGCTAGGTCCCTGGTAACACATGTAGCATATTATTAACTCAGTTTGTGTTGGGTTTAGTAAGGTTTAAATGAACTCTGATGTTTGCCTTCTCTATCACTCCATTACCAGGGATCAGTATGCAAGAGAATATGTCTGACCTGTGATGGCTCCAGCAAAAAATGATTTTGTATTTCCATGTGAAAGAATCTCAATAAATAACATTTTCAACAAAAAAAGTGTTTGGAAATTTTCATGATCAGCCTTTGACAGCAGCTTGTATGCTAATATTATTTTTCTTGTTCAGCAGGGAATTAAGATTTAACAGCCAGTACTAATTATTATTTTTGTTGTAATGGTAGTTTTTATTCTAATATATGTTTTTTTCACAATTAAACTTATATTTGGTCTTATGTTTTAAAATATTTTTTGTTCTCTAGTAAGGGGCCCTTGATTATTTTGTTTTTTATATGTTCAAAATGGTTTTAGAAAAAGTGATAACATACAACATAGAGAAAGGATTACTGAATGGATGGTATTTGATATCAAATATTCATGCATGTAATGTCAGTGACAATTTTTGGATCATAACTCCCTTAATTTTTTTTTTGTCAATGCAGAACATTGAGTCTGCTATTGATCTGTTACTTGTAGCAGGGACGGTATACATGAAGATAACAACTGTTACATTGTTTCAGGATTGTTTTTTAATTCAAATTTTTTTAAAAGACCAAAGTTAGAAACATTATTTGTTCTTGAATGGATATATTCCCCATAAGCTCTATACAATCATTAATTGTTCCATTTATTGCATTAGCATATAAAAACATTAAAATATATATTATTTAAAGAAATAAATATAGATTACTAATCGAAAAAAAAATTAAGTCATTTTACACAATTGCAATGATTATTTTATTTCTAATATGAGAATAAACGAGAAATACGTGTAAGACTACAAGTACGGACTACAAGAACCATCACACCCTGGAAACACGACGCAATTACGTCAACGTCATCGTGCAGCGTCCTTATATGCGTCACTTCCCCGGATGTCGGTCTTTTTTTCATAGCAAAGGTAAGACCGCCTTGCTTTCGTGTTACTGTGCCAATCTAATCTGCTTTCATCTGCGTTACAGAATAAAAAATACAGTCTCCAAACATCAGGACGCGAATCTCTACATGTAGACGATGCGATAGAGCTCGCTATTCCCGTGATTCGTCCCTGATGTTTCTGTAATAATGAACAGTTTGTTGTATCTGCGGTGCTAGGCCTTCGTGCTCTGTTAACGGGAGATAGCTGGCTAATGGAAACGTGTAGTCCTGCGTTGGTTCAGGCGGTTCACTCGTCCAGTTCCGCTGTCACATATTTAAGTTTGTCTTTTAAAACATTAAATTGTCATTTTGAAGACGCGGGTGTCTCGTAGCGAGTAAAGCTGCTCTTCTGTAGTGTGTTGCTAACTGCTAGCTAACGTTACTTGTCATGCCTCCTCTGATACATTGAAGGTGTTTAGACCTCAACCCAACTACTTTAGGACTTTAGAGTATGGCTGAGAGGTTTTCTGCTCTTTACAATGTATTATGTTAGATGGCTGTGGTATTATCTGATGTTTATCAATACTAATTCACATTAAGAACACAATTAAATGTTTAATAATCATTGGTACAGTGGTAGTGGTCTGTAGTTAACACCAGAGCCGCAGCACCATGTTATACAACAATATACAGCAGTGTACAATAAACTCTGTGCTGAAGGCTGGAATATTGTTTTGTTCTTGAGACTATTGATCATAAACCACAATCAATGAATCCTGACATTACAGCCATTGCCCAACATTGCTGCAGTTTGTATACTAACGTCTGTGTTACTTTGTGTCAGATGGCAGAGGGAGACCAGAAATCTGCCAAGAAGAAGCATGGCAGCCGGAACCCGGTTCTGGTCCGGGGGATCGGCCGCTACTCCCGTTCCGCTATGTACGCCCGCAGGGCCATGTACAAGAGGAAGGCCAAGACCACTGAGACCAAGGTGAGGGCAGATCCCTGAGACCCTACAAGATGAATGATGAAAGAACCATATGCACATTGTGCTGGTTGGTTGTGTCTTGTTTTAATGATAGTTTGATGTTGTTTCAGATGGAGAAGAAGCTGAAGGTGAAGCCCAAGGCCACAGTTGTCAAGACTGTTGGAGGAGACAAGAATGGAGGCACTCGCGTTGTCAAGCTGCGCAAGATGGTGAGAAATGTGTAAATTCCTATTGTGTAATCTTCTTCTTCCCTTCAGATTTTGTTTTGCTTGATGTAAGACAGTTGGAACTGTAAATGACATTATGCTGACGAGGAATTTAAAGAATGTGTAGCGCACATTTAAACAAATCCATACATCGTATCGTACATTATTACTGGGTGTCCGCGGGGTCTTAAAGTATTAAAAGTTGATAAATCAAATGTCGGAAAATTAAGGCCCTTAAAAAGTATTAAAGTCTTAATCGCGATTTTATTAAGTATTAAATTTTCTTGACATTCAAGCTTTGACAAAGTATCCATGAATGTATAATTTAGATGCTCCTTGGCGCCAAAGTCTCATCTCCTCGTCTGGGTAAAGAAAGTCAGAGAGAGAAGCCCTGCTGAACTGGGAAAGAATCCAAAATCCATTACTAATGTGGATAAAGACCAAATAGGTTCTTGCTGCAGAGGAAGGAGACGAGAGCATCATTTTGATCTTGTTTGCTCTCTAGAATCTAGTAAATAATTAGCATTCTTAGTGTAATTGATAATTCCATTACATTGCAGATGTAAACAGTCAACTGATTCAGTTTTTATGGGTGAACTAGTAGTTTAAAATCAGGATGTTTAAACATTTTTGATCGAATGGAGTACAAATTTTAACGTTTGAATAGAATGTATCAGCCTCTATTCATGCTCTCGGAGATAGATACATTGAGTGGACATTCTGCCATTCTTCAGCTTGTTCTCTTAATGCTTGTTTTTAACACAACAACTGGCAGTAAATTTATTTTGTTACTTGATGATTTGTCGATCTTTCCCTGATACTGTAGATCAACGATCTTTGGCAACATCAGATGCATGTTCAATTTCCAATCATTTTACAATAAGAGCCATGTATCAGTAAGATATTACTGGCCGCTGAAGAATATAGTGTGTGCATTTCCTTTGTATCTGCAATTTTGAAAATTTATGCACAGATGCTAGACTAATCCTATATTTTGCACAATACCCCTCAGCACCACAGAGTCAGTTGTCTCCTCTCTCCTACACTCAAACGCTACATGGGCAAGTTATGGAAGCATGCAAGTGTGCCCACAACACACTTTGAGCAGTGGCTGACCCTAAATACATGTTTCAGCTATGAAACTGACAGGGCAGAGAAGCCACCTCATCGATAAGAACGAGGTGTGTGTCAGTAGGTTTAATTCCCCCCCTGTCTAAATAGGTTGCATGGAGTGGATTGCAGTTATTAATTTGTCTTATTCACAAATGGTGTGTAAGACAAATTAATAACTTGCCTGTTTTTAGTCTTTTCTGAAGCTCATTACTTCAAAGTTGATAGCTGCCCCATTTACTAAATATTTAAATGTTGTGGTCGATGAAGCAATTGGTAGCCTTGTGGTGCAAACTCTGAATACATTACCTTAATACTAACTGTAATTTCTCCTTTTGTTTAGCGTGGTGGTTTTCCTGAGCAGCTCTCAAGTGGGTCTCCCCTGCTCGTCACTGGTAAGGATGGTTGATTCACAACAATGGTAGAACATCCATAAAAGTCAGGAGCACTGTAAACAAGTGTGTTTGACATTCTTGATAAACCT